AGATTCTGTAAACTACTGGCTCTGCTAATTGCTAGTTTTGTGGCCTCGAGTAAGTAACTGATCACCTTTTGTTCTTGGGACCCTCCTCCTCAAAATAAAGATAGAATAGAACAGAACTGGCTCTTCAGATTCCCCCCCACACACACACACCAAATAAAGATAATAATACTGAAAGTAGTTAGTTTTACAAATGTTATTAATCAGCAATAACAATCAGACCAAACCAGTTGCTGGAGAGCTGATCAGAACTCATGACAACCTCGAGTATGCTCCAGAGTGTTTACCAAGGAACCTCTGGCTGGACTTGAACCTCCAGCCTTACAGTGAGCAGCTGCTGGTATTGATCACTTGCACTACCCAGAGACCCCGAATGCTTCTGAAACTTCTTACAGATAGTGACCACGTGGCTATTTTTTAAATTACATGATTGGTTACACTCCATCAAGACAAAAGAAAGAGCCATCATGTGTCTGGGGACACACTGAGGTTTCCCACCTAAAATGTGCACTGAAATATTCTCAGTGAAGCACGAGGTAAAGCCAGGTGTCTCATGAAATCATGAAAATAAAGGCATGAGGTCCACATACACTGTGCAGGCAGATCCTGGACTCACTAGACAATGTGCCTCCCGGGCACAGCCCCTTTGCACGGGCAGGAGTACACGTGGGCAAGGGTGAAAACTGCAGACGAGTTGAGGGCAATGGGAAAGAGCTGTCTGCAGAAAGCAAACATCTCCCAGGGAGAGGTGGGAACGCTTCTCCCAGCAGTGACATCACATGTGATACTGTCAAAGATGGCTGTATTGTGACGTTCATTGATCGCTATGGCTTGATTGGTTATGTTTGGTTGGTTGGCATTGTTTATCTGATAACAGCCGTTTTGCTGTACCACCAAGTCCATACTGACTCACAGTGACCCCGTGGAATAGTCGTCTGCCACACAGGGTTTTCTTGGCTGTAAACTTGTGCAGTTGTCAAGTTGCTATGAGTTGGATTCAAGTGGACAATAACAAACAGGTTTAATCTTTCCAGACACAAATTCACAGGTCTTTCTCCTGCAGTGACACTGGGTAGGTTCGAACTGCCAACCTTTTGATCAGCATTTAACCACTGTAGCACCAGGAGTCTGTGATACATTGTTTTGGTCCAAATGAAAAATCCTCTGAGGGTCACTACTACCTTGGTGTCAGTGTCCAACAGACTGGTAAATGATGCTGACCAGGAAGACTGCCACCATGCTCTGAAATTCTATTGCTCACATCATGCAATACAGTGGCACATTCGCCTTTAAACAACCTCTTGAAAGCAAATCAAGTTGGTGGGAACATTTTAATTAGCTGTGCCCAATAAGGGCTGTGCAGGACTGGGGTTCAGGCACCTTCGGGCACTTTTCATGAGTGCAAGCTGTTCATACTTATTCAGTCTCTCTCATCTCTGTCCTATACATATATATAGACATCTTTACACATACACACACATACCTATACTCACACACATATATTCACACACACATCATACATATACCTATTCACACACGTACACATACTATACACATATGTACACACATATACACATGCATCTCCACACACACACATACCTATTGTTGTTGTTGTTAAGTGCCGTCGAGTCGGTTTCGACCCATAGCGACCCTGAACAGGGTTTCCGAGGCTGTAAATCTTTATGGGAGCAGAAAGCCTCATCTTTCTCCTGCGGAGCAGCTGGTAATTTCGAACTGCTGACCTTGAGGTTCACAGCCCAATTCGTAACCACTATGCTACCAGAGCTCCTTACACATGCCTATACTCACACACACACATTATACACATACATATTCATTCACACATGCACACATATTATACACATATGCATATACAAACATGTCCACACACAGAGATATCTCTACTTATATACATATACACATACACACATTATACACATATGCACACACATATACACACATACACCTCCATACACACCGATACCTATATATACATGCATATTTACACACATGTACAAACACACCACACACATATGTACACATACATATACAATACACCTTCATATATAGATACCTATATGTATTCACACACATTATAGATACATATTCATATATACACACATTATACACATACAAATTTACACATACCTATACATATACACATTCATACATACATATACACACACCTTACAGATGCACATCCATACATCTATACAAACACATAAACACACACATGCAAATCTGCTGCACAAGACCTCTTTTTAAAGTGTTGAAGAGCACAGGTGTCAGCTTGAGGACTAAAGTGCACCTGACCCAAGCCATGGTGTTTTCAATCATCTCATATGCATGCGAAAGCTGGACAGTGAATAAGGAAGACCGTAGAAGAATTGATGCATTGGAGTTGTGGTGTTGGAGGAGAATATTGAAAGTACCATGGGCTGCCAGAAGAACAAACAGATCTGTGTTGGAAGAAGTGCAGCCAGAGTGCTCCTT